TGGTTGTGATGAGCATGGTTGTGGTAATTTAGTAGTAAGATTATAAATTCTTACCCAATCGGTAGTAATTTTACCTCTAAGGTGTTAATTATACCCAAATAGTTGTGTTCTTACCCAATTAGTGGTAATGTTAGGGCAAACATTGGTAATATGGTGGTAATTTTATTAAAAATGTGGTAACTTGCTCCCAAAAGTGGTATTATTACCAAGAGTTGTAATCTATTATCAGTAGCATAGCCAAATAAGTGTTAACCTTAGCTACGAAGAGTGGTAATCTCACCAACATAAATAGTAACCTTATTCCAAAAATTGGTATTCTTACAAAATAAAAGTGATAATGTTACACCAAAAAAGTTGTATTCTAACCAAAAAAATGGTAATTTTAACCAAAAAAGTGGTAATCTTTCACTCAAAAGTGGTAATCTTCACTAAAAAATGGTAATCTTGTCCAAAAAAAGTGATAATCTTGCCTGAAATAAATGGTAACCTTATTAAAAAAAGTGGTATTCTTACATAATAAAAGTGATAATGCTACACCTAAAAAGTTGTATTCTTACACCCAAAAAAGTTGTATTCTAAGCCCAAGCAAGTTGTATTCTAACCCAAAAAATGATAATGTTAAACAAAAAAGTGGTAATCTTCCCTAAAAATGGTAATCTTACCAAAAAAAGTGATAATCTTGTCCCAAATAATTGGTAATCTTACCAAAAAAATGTATTCTTACCAAATAAAAGTGATAATGTTACAACCAAAAAGTTGTATTCTTACTCCCAAAAAAGTTGTATTCTAACAAAAAAAAGTGGCAATGTTAACCAAAAAAGTGGTGCTCTTACCTCGGTGGTAATCTTTCCCTCAAAAAGTGGTAATATTTCCCTCAAAAAGTGGTAATCTTCCCTAAAAATTGGTAATCTAATCCAGAAAGAGTGATAATATTGCCTCAAAAAATTGGTAATCTTACCAAAAAAAGTGGTATTCTTACCAAATGAAAGTGATAATATTACACACAAAAAGTTATATTCTTACACCCAAAAAAGTTGTATTCTAACAAAAAAAGTGGCACTCTTACCTCCACAATGGTAATCTTTTCCTCAACAAATGGTAACCTTACCCAAAAAAATAGTGATAATCTTGCCTCAAAAAGTGGTATTCTTACCAAATAACTCAAGTGACACTTATTCCACTCATATGAATCCGACAATAAAAAAGAGTTTGGGGCAAGGTAAGAAGAAGAAAACTTAGCAGCCACAAGTTGAAATCGAGAATGAAGTTGAAGCTGAGGATAAAGTTGAAGCCAAAGATGACCGAAATTCTTCCTCAAGTTGTGTTCCTCCATTGATTATGGTCGGACAAATGTTTGTACAAATGCTCAAAAAGATGGAGCAATTTCAAAAGACTGAAGGTGAAATGAAGGAGTCTCTGAAGGTGATCAATACTAGGATGAATAGAATTGATTCTTTTTTTATGAAAAACAAAGAAATAGCTAGGAAGTAATAATTATATGTAATTGTAGTTGTTGGTTGTTGATACAATAGTTGAACCAGCACTAGTGAAGTGTGAAGAAACAAATTAATGCAATATGATATGTTTTTGTCAAAAATCTAAAATATCTTTTTTCTTTATATATAAAATGAGCTTGGTAATGGTTGTGATGAGCATGGTATTTGGTTTTTTTTTTTGCTTCCAATAAAGGTCAAGCTAGGTATATCGAAGTAAAAAAAAACTTGGAATGGAGAATGTAAAACATTTTCATTCAAAGTTGTGAAAAAGGAGAATTTCATCAACTCATCTTGCTCCATGATCTTGGTGCCCACTATGATAGCATAAATTGATGGTTATATGACAATGGTGAATAAACAAAATTTGAAGGATAAAATTTGTAATTTTTGTAATTACCTTCATATTACTGAAACTAGTGTTGATGTACTATGATTGAATGTTAGAATCAAAGCTTGACATTGCATCCTAGAATAACAAGGAATGAGTTCATAGGAAAAAAAAAATATAAACATCCAAAGAGTATTATATGAACGTGATAGTTGAGGATGCCCTCGTTGACAAAGGCAATGCAATGGTCATCCTCTTTCAATGATAGCATAGATTGTTACGATCCACCATGTTGTGAAAAAGACATGTGGGGTGGCTGTTCCGATCCACTAAGTTGTGAAAAAGGCATGTCCGTGGTGGCTATGATCCAACTAGTTGTAAAAAAGGCATGTCCTCGAATGGATCATTGGATTGAGACATCAAGAGTGGACATTTTTTAACAGTATATTCAGTGCCCCTGCATTTACTACATCTTCGTAGGTTGATTGTAATATTCTTACGTGCATGACCTGGATTTCCCTTGGTTGTCATGATCTTTGGATCATTCACACCGAATTGTGTATTAGTCACATTCGCATCCTGTTTGCCAAGTGACTCATGACGGACTTTTAGAAGAGAAGTTCTTTGTTGCACCATACTCCTCAGGTCATTTAAGTCTGAGAGTGACTGTGAAACGTAATAACTTATTTGGCTACACATTGACATAAGTCCAGCATAACGCATACGAATTGACACATTCAACTGCACATTATCACATTCGGGTGCACATTTATACCTAGATTTTGCTTTAATGGTTCACTTGTTCATCACACTAGTATGAGAAAACTCTTGTATGTTCTCATACTTCATGACCGTGATCATGTGAGAGCATGGAATCCCAAAAGACTCAAATTTCATGCAATTGCATTTAAACACATGAATTTGAGGATAATATTGCACAAACTACCTTGAATCTAGTTTTGTGAATCGAGACAAATAGTAACTTGGATGACTTTCATTCTCGATCTTATCCACTACAAAAAATACAACTTCTTTTTGCATCTTATCACGGACCTTGAAGAAAATTTTTCTGGTATATAGTGCAGTAGCATGCTCCTCTAAGCATCTCAGTACTATCAGCATCACTGGCCTAGAATGTTCCGACTCAAAGTCATCATTGAACTCACACTCCCTGATCCTTGCCAAGCTCCTATAATAGTACCTAACAAACTTGAATAATTCTTCAAATCATTCAATGGTCGAATCATTTGAACTCACACTCTCTGATCATTGCGTGCCTTTTAATTTGACAAAAAATTTTCCTTGCAAGTACGCTTCGGCCCATTTGAATCACTTTGCATAAACTTCCATTATCCAATTATTTGTCTCCAGTCCAAATGATTCAACCATTGATTTTCACTCATTTTCAAATTCTTCTAGAGTACATCGAGCACACATGCACCTCCTGAATGCGTTTACAAAATTTTCAGCATTTATTTTTGTGAAAACATTTCTTGACAAATGCCATTTACATAAGTGATGCGTCGCTTGAGGAAATACTCTTTCATTTGCATCAGCCATTGCTTTATCTCCATCAGTAATAACAGATACAGGTTTTTTTGTTTTCCATTGCTTGAAGAAAGGTATTCAATACCCACACATATGTATCAATTGTCTCATTTGAAAGTAATGCACACCCAAGCATAGTTGTTGTGTTGTGGTGGTTGACACCGACAAATATCACAAAAGGCTTCTGATATGCATTTGTTCGATATGTAGTATCAAATGTCATTACCTCACCAAAGCACTTGTAATCTAGTTGAGATGTCGAATCAGCCCAAAACAAGCAATTCAATGAATTATCTTTGGTGACCGAATACTTGAAATAGAATTGCAGGTCCAACTCTGCCTTCACGCTCAGATAGGCTAATGCGCCCTCTACACCACCATCTCTCAACTCTTCTCTACAGTAGGATGTCATGTCATTGTAGAGATCCTTTGTGGTAAACCCAACATTTTGATATCCTCTAGATTCTTGCAACATAAAATCTCTAATATGACTTGTACGCATACCAACATTGAGCAATGATATAGCTTGTGCTCTATCGAGGCTCTTAACATGCCTGTGTGATCGGAGAAATAGAAGACCACGTTGTGGAACCAATTTATGGTTGTGGTCCATAGCAAACTCTTTTATAACTCATTCTTGTGTCTTCCTGTCAAACTTCAATTGGAATGTTGCCTTGCATCCAAGTCGTGTTAACCCTCATGGTTCCCTTGATCTCTCTATGAGTTCTGCATTCTTTGCGGACCGATACCCTTCTCTCGAACAAACCCACCGTCTTGAAATTGGCATGTTATTCTTGCCATGCTTTAGGTCATCCTTACAAACGCTGAAACCCGCATATCTACCATATGTGTTATAAAATTGTCCAGCATCTTCATGTGATACAAATGTCATTGCAAGGACTTCTGTAGATGTTAAATCTTCCCTCATTGCAATGGCTTCATTGGATGTTAACTCATCCTTGATTTCAATGGCTGCATTGGATGTTAAGTCATCCTTGCTTTTCTGATGGAAGTCCATGTTCTGATATTCATCATTTTCAAAATCATGCATTATGCCATCTATTATATCTGTATTTAAGTCTATAAAAACCTGTTTTCTTTTTTCCAGCTGTGTCGATTATCTCTAAGCACAAATAATTAACAATCTCATCTTTCAGAAATAACTACTATTTCTACCTATCAAAATAAGAAGATAATAGTTGTGGACATAATACAATTAATAACAAACATCTATGGAGAAAAGATCGTTAAATACTTACCTTCTTTAATAGGAATCTTCCAATACCTTGCATTCCACTTAATTGCATGGATGATCAAGAAAAGATTGTTAAATATTTGGATTGAAGTTTGATGGGTGATGAAAGAATGGAGGTTGTAAGAGTGAATTTGATGAAGAAGCGCAGCCTATAATTCAAATTTGACTTCACTTTGTCCAAGGTTGAGAAAATCATAGTAGTTGGAACAGTTTTTTTTCAAAAGATCAAAATTGCATAGAAAAGCAACTTACATAGTCTAAAACATAGCAAGGAATAAACGTTCTGTTCTCCAACAGCATTAATGAGGAGACTCCACGGCAAATTAAGTTCATTACTTCATATAATGTAATAATATTTCCTAAGCCTAAATGCTCATTCATCCTCGTGGCTGCGCAACCTGGCTAGCTTGTTTGTGACAACCAGGTCAAGCTGAGCAGCACGCTCCACAATCTCTTTCTTCTTCCTTGTGGACACATTGTGTGCAATCTCTGCACAGTAAGTGCTGTTGTGCATCATCAGCACCTCAAGCTCTTTAACATTGTGCACAACAAACTTCTTAAAACCGTTGGGAAGATAATGACGAGTCTTCTTGTCAGAGCCATAGCCAATATTAGGCATCAGAGTGCATCCCTTAAACTTTCTTCTGACCCGAGAATCAATACCCTTTGGTCAGCGCCAGTTTTCCTTGATCGAGATTTTCCAATCGCTGTGGGGCCTTTTGAACTTCTTGACTCTCTTCTTCATGATCTTCTTCGTCAACAGAGGCACCACCATTGCTCCTCTTATAATTCAAATTTGACTTCACTTTGTCCAAGGTTGAGAAAATCATAGTAGTTGGAATAGTGGTGGTATATTTACTTCACAATTAAATGCCCTTTATTACACAACATTTATATTACCTACTTCAAAACATATTTTTTTTTACAATTGTTACGTTAGAATTAGAGCGGATTGCAAATGTTGGGTGATGTTCAAAGATGTGCAGTATATTATTATCATTATATTCTTATGTTCATAACTTGTTAATTTTAAAATTATGTCATACATAACTTTTTAATTTATTATGGATTTTTTTAATTCAATGGACTTTAATAAGTTTAAAAGTTAAATAAATTAAACTTTAGTATTCTATTTAATATAATTAAATTTTAATTGGATATAATAAAATCTAAAATTAGTCTTGATTCGATTAAATTAAATAGCAATTTAGTGTTAAATTAAATAAATATTATTTAAATTTTAAGAAATTAAATCTCATTTTGTATACTTATAGTCCAGTAATCTAAATAGCAAATTAATGAATGTGTTGAAGTTGAATGTTGATGGAGCTTCTAAGGGTTTGAGTGGTTTCTCTGGTGGAGGAATGGTTCTAAGAAATCAAGAGGGACATGTGGTTCTTGCTGCTAGTTTTTTCTATGGAGTAGGGTCTAATATGCAGGCAGAATGTAGGGCCCTATTGGATGGTCTAAGTTGATACTGCAGTATGGGTTGGAGGGATATCAGTTCCTTATTGAATCTGATTCCAAGGTTTTGGTAGAAATGGTTTTGAGGATAGCTGATGTGGCTTGGAAACACTAGGCTATTTTGGAGCACATATGGGAAATTATTGGTAATCTTAATGCCAGAATTTCTCATGTGTTCAGGGAGGTCAGTAGTATTGATGATTTTTTTGGCTTCATTTGCAGTACAGTTTGGGCTCTGTTCTGATTTTTCAGTAACTGGTTTGCTTCCAGTTGCTAGGAGACTGCTGCTACAACAAGATCAAAGTTTTCTGTCTGCCTGTTTTGAGGGATAGGAAAGTCCTGATTTTTGGGAAGAGAGGTCTGATTCCCTGAAAGCAATGTAGATGGTTTTAAGGCCTTTTGAAGGATTAAAGCCATCTTTGTATTTTTTTGAGAATTTTATTATACCATATAGCATATTTTTATTTCTTCATTTCTCATAATATATTATTTAAAATTAATTTCTACCTATTATTTTCTTAAAAATAGCGTCAATTTTCTCGAAATGAATAACCTAATAAAATTTTTCTCTGTATATATGGACAGAATGAAATAAAAATTTGTGAAACTATAAATTAATCAAATATTAAATAATTAAACATGTGATAATTTTGGATTATGTGATGTTTTGTGAGTGTGTGTGTGGGGGGGGGGGAATATGTAGAGATAAAATTTAACTTCCTATGTGCTTTATTATATAGATTTGATATGATCGAATATTAATTTATTTGTATTTTTTTTGGGTAAAGTTACCACTTTTTGTGAGTAATGTTACCAATTCCTAGGGGTAAGGTTACCACTCTGTTGGTGAGATACAACTTTTTTGTGGTTAAGGATACCAATATTTTTTAGCATTACCACTTGTTTCCCTGAGGTTACCATATTTTTGGAGTAAGGTTACCTTATTTTGGGGGTAAGTTTAACACGATTTGGTTAATATTAGGAATTTTTGGGGGGTAATGTTATCACTTTGGGGGTACAGTTACCACTAGTGGGCGTAATGTTACCACTTTTTGGTCGTAATGTTTCCAAAGATGTCAACTTTTTTTTTTGGGTAAGGAAACCAATATTTTTGTAACATTACCACTTGTTTGGCCGAGTTTACCATATTTTTTGGGGTAAGGTTACCTTATTTTGGGAGTAAATTTAACACATTTTGGTAAATATTTAGAATTTTTAGGGGTAATGTTACCACTTTTGGGGTACAGTTACCACTTGTGGGCGTTGTAATTTTTGGGGGTAATGTTACCACTTTTGGGGTAGAATTACCACTTGTGGGCGTAAGGTTCTTGAAAGTAGTGTAGATGGTTTTAAGGCCTTTTGAAGGATTAAAGCCATCTTTGTATTTTTTAGAATTGTATTATACCAAATAGCATATTTTTATTTCTTCGTTTATCTGGTTATATTATTTAAAATTAATTTCTACTTATTATTTTCTTTAAAATAACATCAATTTTCTCAAAATGTAACCTGATAAAATTTTTCCGTGTATATATGGACAGAATGAAATAAAAAATTTGTGAAACAACAAATTAATCAAATATTAAATAATAAACATGTGATAAAATTGGATGATGTGATGTTTTGTGTGGTGGGAATATGTAGGGATAAAATTCAACTTCCTATGTGTTTTATTATATAGATTTGATGCAATCAAATATTAAATTTATTTTTATTTTTTTGGGTAAAGTTACCACTTTTTGTGAGTAAGGTTACCAATTCTTAGGGGTAAGATTACCACTCTATTGGTGAGATACAACTTTTTCTTGGTTAAGGATACCAATATTTTTTAACATTATCACTTGTTTGGTTGAGGTTACCATATTTTAGGAATAAGGTTACCTTATTTGGGGGTAAGTTTAACACGTTTTGGTTAATATTAGGAATTTTTTGGGGGTACAGTTACCACTTGTGGGGCGTAAAGTTACCACTTTTTGGTGGTAATGTTTCCAAAGATGTCAAATTTTTTGGGGGGTAAGTATACCAATATTTTTGTAATGTTACCACTTGTTTGGCCGAGTTTACCATATTTTAGGGTTAAGGTTACCTTATTTTGTTATTAAGTTTACCACTTTTAGGGATAAAGATATCACTATTTGGGATATGTACCAAATTTTTGGGTAAGGTTACTTACTACCTTTGGTGTAAAATTACAACTTTTTTTAAAAAGATTACCACTATTTGGGTAAGGTCACCAATTTTTGGATAATATTACACCTTTGGGTACATTTACCACTTATTTGGTAAAGAGAAAATCAAACTTCATTTACCCGAGTAATTTTTATTTTTGGTTAGGTAGGATTTAAATTTATTTGTTTTATACCAGGATTTTTTTAGATATTTCTTTTTAGTTAAGTATCATCTTCCAGAGTTTGTTTATTTTACTATTTATTTTTTTATTAATACGATTAATTCAAAATTTTCAAATAATTGCTTTTTTGGGATATTTTTTTTGTAGAAACTTCCCCAACACACTATATTCGCAACCCAAGAAACCAACCACTAGACTACTCTTCTCACTTCTCAAACACTTCCCCTCCCTTTTCTCGAGACTCTCTCTCTATCTTATGTCCTCTGTCTTTCTCTCACTCTGTCTTCTGTCCTCTCTCTCACACACGACTCCACAGCGCAACAACGCCACCGCCACAACGCCTTAATTTCTTCTGTCCAAGCCTTAATTTCTTATTGCCATCGTCCAGCAAACACACTGCCATCGCCCGCCACCTAAACTGCCACAACCCAGGTATTTATCCCTTTTCTCTGCACACTCACACCCATCGAGCGCGCACAAACAGATATCTAAACACACACAGTCACGCGTCACACACATATTGGTTTTTTTTTTGGTGTTTTTGTTGAATTGATGATTATCTAGTAACAAATCGAATCTTATGGTTTCAAATTGAGATTATCATGAAATAAATTTGTGTTAATTGCTTGAGATTGTATGTTATTTCACTAGGGTTTTGATTGAATGTATGTAAAGGCTTTTATGAAAGACATTTGTATGGTTTTTATTTTATTTATGTTAAGTTTGTTGAGTCGATGATTATTTCGTAAGAAATTAGATTTTAGGGTTATTATGATTGAGACATTGTGTTAATTGCTTGAGATTGTGTGTTATTGTTATTAGGGTTTTGATTGAATGTATGTAAAGGTTTTTTTGAAAGACTTTTGCATGGTTTTTATTTAATTTATGTTAAGGTGGTTGAGTTGGTGATTAATTTAGTAAGAAATTAGATGTTAGGGTTTGTAAGGTTTTGATTGAATGTATTTTATGGTTATTTATTCAAATTTTGTGTTAACTGATCGAGTTTTGTTGTTATTATGGTTTTGTAAAATTTCATATTTCATTTTTTAATGAAAGAGGTTTGTATGGTTTTGATTCGAATTTTAGGTTTGATTACTTTATTGGAATCTTGAATTGGGGATTGTGGGTTCCTATTTGATATTATTTGATGTGATATTTCTTGGTTTTCTTGAATTGAATTGTTGAAACTAATGTTTATAGAGGTTTTAATTTAGTGACTACATACATTTGTGTTTTGGGATACTCTTCTTCATATTCTATGGTGTACTTCTTTATTTGCATTTTGATTATTATAGTGCATGTTTGAAATTGGGAATTAGTTTTTCTTTTATATGAATTGGTAAAATGTATTCAAAAATCGGGTAATTTCATTTAAGCTAAACTTTAATGGCCTCGACTTTTCTGAGTTAACACATAGGTTTTGCAGTTGATTGGGTATAAGAAGTGAACTTTGTTGTGGGATTGGGTAGCTAAGGTTCTATGCTTTTTCAATTCGTTGCCAAGCATAGCTATTTAAGGTTTAATGCTTTTTCAATCTATGATCTGGGTACACTTTATGATTGTTGATCAATTGAATGGTATTTATTTGTTTATGTGTGTGTTGACACTTGGATAGTTTGGAAAGGTTCGATAGCTTGGTAATTTCTTACTAAATGTTGTGTTACTTTGTGGATATCTATAATAATAAGATAGTCGTGTATGGACTTTGCCTTAGGTATTTTTTTATTCGCCATAAAAGAAAGAGTCAATCAAAATACCTCTAACTGCTGAGCTTGGTATGTTTGAAATTGGGTTGTAATAACTTTGGGGGTAAATTGATAATTTGCTAAACTTTTGGTGTTAAATTTGATATATTTAGTTAAATTTGATATTAAGTTGATATAATTGGTTGAATTTTCAATAGGTTTATTTTAATTGGTGGAATGAGTTTTTTTGGTGCTTGAAATTGAAATTTCTTTGGTGATTCATTTGTGGTTAAATTTGATATTAAGTTGATTTAGTGAGGCTTTTGGTAGC